GAAAATGCCTTGTAATTGGTTATTAGTCGGAGATATCCATTTATGTAAAAACCCAGCGAGAGGGGAATATTGCGCCCTTCATGTATTCAAAATTCGAAAGGGTATAATAATTTCCCAACCATGTAAAGGATGTGGGCGAGAGACTAAATTGAGTGTTTAGCTTTGTGTACCATGTGGACATGGTAGGGAAAGAGCGTATAAATATTATGTGTCAAAGACACGAGCTTTGCTATAAACAGAAGAATGTAAAAAAAACTCAACGCACTTAATTTCTATACCTGTGAAGCAAATTACTAGATAAGTATTATTATTAATTTTTTCGTATATAATCCAGGTCTTTGAGAAATAACCAATTAAACTTATCATTTTCATAAGTAACAATTAACTATTATCACTTTCATAACTAGTAACACACTAATTATGTATACCGAAGAGCCGGAGTATAATAAAGAAACAATTACTGCTAAGGAGTTATTCAAATTACCTAGACGTTCAGAAAGACCAAAAATATATAACCCCAAAACAAATTGTATGATTGCAATCAATGAGTCAGCATATAATAGATTGTTATGTGATGATTATATACATTGGAGAGAAGAAAGACTTTTGGTTCTACCTTTCAATGAAATGCCAATACTAAGAAAAAGTCTATCTTTTGTATCTAATAAGATTTGGAATATTGTTGTAGAAAAAAGTCTTTTTACAAAAATCGATGAGAAAGTAAGTTTACTAGAAATCCTGCTTAAGCCAAACTAGAATGGATTCGCCATATGTGATTTGCTAAAATTATGCTAGAATAGTAGAGAAACTCGAGAATGGAGAAATAATATTCTCATGAATTTCCTCTATCACTCAAATTTAACTCCATCGAAATCTAGGCCAAATGTCTTGTATAATGCATTCAGTAAAGTAGACGTTCTAGGTCCAGAACATATACTTGCTATAGCGAGAACACTACAATAAAAAATAAAAATGAATTATAAATCTTAATATAGCCCAAATTGCCACTCCAAAGCTATATATTTTTTTCGTTATATTCTATATATTGGTAAACTTTAAATCGATGTCCCAGTTACTCTATAGGTAGCCATATATGCTCTTTTTCTGAGTATGGGAAAAAAAGCATAATTAATTTCGATTTGAAAAAAGAATCTCCATAGTATATATCAGACGAAAATAGTCTATATAAAACATCTCAATCATATTAACTGACATATACTAACTATAGCAAAAATTGCTATATCATTTGTAAATCACTACAAATTGACTTCTCAAACTAGTTTACCCCAGCTTAGTATTTATGCCAAAGAGTTGGCTAATAAACTTTCAGATGGTAAAACAAAAGAGCAGGCCTGAAAAGCCAGAGATCAGGCCAAAAGACACTTCCAAGAGTTGGGATTGAATAAAGAACAAGCTGATACTCTTATTCCTATTCGAGCTCCTGGGAGACATGTTTATGAAAGAGATCTCATTAAAATTATTGCTCAAGATATTATAAAAAATAATCTCTCACTTGAAGAAATAAATAGAATAGCATATGACTTGGCTTCTTCTGCTCCTACTACTATTGCAGGAAATTCTCATCTTAATTTATTACGGAAAGAGTTGCATAGCTTAGAAGCTAATTATCTCATTACTAAGGCAACGAAAATACCTTTTATTACTGAAGAAGCAAATCAGATTTAAGCAAGAAAGCGTATACTTCGTGGAATTAATGGTTACAATTATCCCGAGTTCTTTTACCTGGAAAAGGTTCAGGAAAGACTTAACAAATGTAATATTACCAAGTCTCCTTCAATGCAAAATCTAATAGACATAATGATAATGCTATGTATACGATCGGCAGATGTAAAAAATCTTTGTATCAACCGATACAAACCAAGTCGTGAGTCATGGTATAATCCTGACTATTCTTGGTACTGTATTGGTTATGCAAAAAATAAAGGTGAGGTAGAAGAACTCCGGCCATTCCTTTCAATAGAAAAAAATCCAATATGAGCAAGAGAATTACTTATCTGGATTCAGAGATCAATACCAGATAAATTTTCCTTCTTGTTAAAAGATAAAAATGGGAATACTAATATTGCACCTCTTAATCAATTCTTAAGTCGCCATAGAATTACCTCATATATATTAAGAAAAATAGGTACCGATCATGCTTCCAGAGTATATGGAGGTAGGAATGATTCCTGCCGTCAATATTTATGGCAATTGGCATGTAGACATAAAATAGGTCATGCTTTATCAGTTGAACATTATAGTGTAATGAATGACAGACCAAATACCCCAGCATCTAAACAAGAAAATAGTGAGGTTGAGGATATCATTGACCTATATAATTACTAATTGCTCTTATCCCATTTAGAGTTGGACCCAGACTCAGATAAGGATGAAGATTCAGACGAGAACTCAAATACAGTATTGTTAAATTTTGTTTTTTTTTCTTTTAGCCTCAGATAGTGTACGATTTCTTCGACAAATATCTGGGTTTGCTATCGAGTTTATAATATCTTGCTGAATCTCAGGTTTTACTATTTTTGGTAATTGATGGAGAGAGATCTGAATTTTTTATTTGACACTTGTTTAATAATGTAAGATATCACACTATTGCCATTTCGAGATTTATGATTATTTTCTAATGTAGCTTTATTCATTGTCAATATTGTATCATAATATATACCTTGATACTAGCTTTGCTATATTAATACATAATAAAATTCAGAATAAATATTATTTTTGGTTATAATATACATCATTAAACATATTTAACATGTTTATCAATACACTTATAGAAGAAAAAATCTTAGTAAAAGCGTTAATTGATACAACATCTAAATATAATACTATTAGCAAACACTTATTCGATAAGCTTAAATCTGATCACAGATTAGAAGGTATAGGTATAGTTGGTGATGATCTAATAGATGAAGAAATAAAAGGCTTAGATTTACAGTTTCGCATTAAAAGAAAGCGGCAAAGTTTAGGTAATACTGAACTAATAAACTTTCAAATTCATAAAAATCCATTATTTGATCTGGTGTTGGGGCAAGATTGGTTATAGATGCATGAAGCAAAAATAAGCTTTGGACATTCTCCCAAAACCCATGTCCGCCATGCTAAAATTGTAATAGATGGTATGAGCATCCTATTATTCGATGAAGATTTTAACAAAGCCAGATCCACTAAAAATAATTTATCTAAATCAACGGAATCTAAACCTGGTCCAGCTCAAGAGGAGGTTATGAATATAATTAACAAAATTCTCTCAAATATTAGAGATAGACCCAAAGGGTTATTGCTTTGCAATATACCTCCTATATATCTACCATCCAGAAGATTAAATAATGATGTTTCCAAAAATAAGAGTAAGAAAAATAATGTCAAATATTTCACAGATGCTTCTTCTAATTCAGACACTTCAGACAGTGATTCAAGTAATTCTTCCACATCTAGTTCAGAAATAGAAGTTACACATGCGCATAAGACTAGAGCAATAAAGAAATGCCCTATTCGAAAGCATAAAGTAAAAGGTAAAGTTAATTATCGAGCTTGATGATCTTATATATAGCCACAAAATGAAGTAAATCACATCATGTTATAATGTACCTCAGGAGAGTGATGTCATGTATTTTAAATCCACGAATCGGAGATCAGCATAGAAGTATTTCAGTACTAACCAACTCACTAACCGCACCTATTACAGAGCAATGACCCTCTAGGTCTACCCTTAAGCTAAATTATTTATTCACGATTGCCAGCAAAGATTGAGCGATTCCCACATACTAAATAATTTGTGAATGAATTGATCACCGAATCCGAAATTAGTTTTTTAAAAATCTGCAAATTAGGTTTGTTAGTCGTGAGAAATAAACTATATAAAAAAGCTAAGTATAAGTAATTTCGTTGTTAAAAACTTATCTGGTATCTAATCATTATTATGTCTCTTACTAATCTCCAAAACTTCGCTTTTAATATTTTAA